GGCCCGCCGCGGCCGCGGGGCCGCGATGGGCTGCAGGCTCGCTGGGGAGGCCCTGGCCGCCGCTGCCCGAGCAGATTGCGACGCGGCCTCCGCCCCAGAGTGCAGTTTCGTCCTCGCTGCTTCCGCTTTGGCCTTGGTCGCGTTGTCCGCGCTCAGTTCTCTGTTGCGCGCGGTCTCGTTTCCCGCTGGCGCGGCCGCCGCGGCCGCCGCGGGGGCCGCCGCAGCCCTGGAAACAGCCGCAGAGGCAGCCCCCCCCGCTGGTGGGCTCAGCTGGGGCCCAGGTGGCAGGGGGGAGTGATGCCCGCGCTTCATGGCGGTCTTCTCCTTCGTGGCTGACGCGCGTTCGCGATGTTTCCTCAACTTCTCCAGCGTGTCGCCAAACGCCGGCTTCGAACTTCCCGTCGGCGCGCTCGTGGCCGCGCGTTTCCTGCAGTCAACCTCCCCCATATTGACCGCGTCCATCGCGCCGTCTGAGTTGTCGAAGGCCGTTCCGAGGTCCAGCGTGGACGTGGGCTCCACAAGAGAACCAACCTCCAACATCGCACTGAGATCGATGCCCGCGCGCGCGCTGGCAGGCGGCCGAGTCGATGGAGATGGCGGCGCCGCGGAGTTGAACGCGCCCGCCCACTCCTGCTTCGCCATCGCCAGCGCCTCAGCCGCCGTGGCCAGGGATGTCTTGCACTTCTCGAACTCCATGGCCAGCCTCGCCCGCTGGCCCTTGAGCTTCTCGAGCGCTTCCAGCTGAACCCTGGTCGCGTCCTCGGTGGCGCGCTGAGTCACAGGAGGCTCTCCCGCACCTTGGCGCCGCCCTTGGCCGACGTGGCGGCGTCCACAACAAACTGTGAGCAACGAGCGCCTGGTCCGTGCCAGGCTGACTCTTGCTCAATTCCATCCGCTGTCCGCCCATGGCGGCGTTCGTGGGCGCCCCGCGACTCGCGGGAGAACGCCCTTCCTGCTCAGGCGGAGCTTGATTCTCAAACAGCGCGCCACACAATCACGTGCTCCTATATACTGAGCTAGCTTCGACGCCCACGCCCAGCAGGAGCATGCCATGCGCTTCGCTTCTTTGTCTTCAACTCCCGTGTCCTCCTTCCCGTTGCCCTTGCCCTTGGATATGGGCCTGCCGCCGACAGGCGGCGTGGGAAAACGCGCGTCGTCCGCATTGGCCACATGGCTTGGGGCCAAGCCGGCGCCGGCCCATATAACGGACTTGTCACTGGCCGCCCCTGCTGATCTCCCTGCGAACCAACAGGCCGCGGGGGGGATATCGGCGGCCATTCATCGTCCGGTCCGGCCTCATGCGCTTTGCGACGCTGGCGCTTGTTCTCCTTGCCCATCGTACTCTTCGACCGATTCTTGGTGATCGTTGCTCCTCGCTGGAGGAATTCAGATCCCAGCCGAAATCGTGTGGAGATGGTCGGTGGCCCCACGCACCCTACCGCGCCCTCTCGGCGCCGCGGGGGCACGGAATCAAAACGGCTATGATGATGATGATGATGATGATGATGATGATGATGACGATGGTGAAAATGATGATTGGGATGGGACAGAGGACCAGCGTAAACCAAAGACTTACCAACGATGTTGGAATAAAACCCTCCCTCCAAGCTTCCTCTTTATAGGCGCCTACAGCGAATCATTTCCAGTGAGGGAAGTGCCCCACTGGGAGACAACCGCATGAAAACCCATAAGCATGCCAAACCACCATTCTCGGACCCCCAACGCCACGAATCACCCAGACTGTTGCTTTTTGGCGATCCTGCATCGTGCCAAAACATCCTTCCGGCGACCCTACCACCGCGAACCAACGTAATTCTTGCGTCCTGACATTCCTGAATCCTTCCAAAACGCCATTTGTGGCACGTAAGCATGAGGGTCCACATGTTGGAACAAGTGTTGTGCGCGGCGCAAAAAACACATGTTGAAACGGAACCGCTCTCAATCCGTGAAGCCTTTGCCATTAAAAGAACGAGTGTGCGCGGCGCTGAAGCAAGAGACACATTTTGAAAACCGGCCGCCGTCAATCCGTGAAGCTCGTGCAACTTTTTTGAAACGACTGTGCGCGGCGCTACAACGAGAAACACATGTTGGAAACCACCCGCAATCAATCCGTGAAGCCTTGGCAATTTTCAAAACGGAATATGCCCGGCGCTACGGCGATAACGACATTTCGAACAACCTCCCGCCCTGAATCTGTGGAATTCCAGCAAACGTTTAAAATTAATGTGCGCGCTAAGCCGGGCGCCGTATTTTGAAAACCTTTCGCCCTCCATGTGTGAAGCGATTGTCGCATTTCAAATTTCAGGATCGTAGACATTGAAGAAATCTGAAGCGAAACGCCCGGCCCACCTTCCGACTGGCCTCGGGGTGTGACAGGGGGAATTCGTCATAAAGAAAGAATGGAAGAGGAGGAGGAGGAGGAGGAGGAGGACGAGGAGGAGGAGGAGGAGGAGGAGGGAGGAGGAGGAGGCGGAGGAGGTGGAGGAGGAGGGCGCGCCCATGTCGGCACACCCATCGCGCGGATCGTACCCCACCGCTCCCATGTGGAGTTTTTCCTGCGGCCCCGTATGCGCGGCGCCACGCCCCGCGGGGCGCCGTGCACAGTGACAGGGCCACGCATGGCGCTATACGCAGCCGCGTATGGTTGTGTACTGCGCCAAGCTGGCCTGTCCGCGGGGAGCGGAGGGAGTGGGAGGAGGAGGAGGAGGAGCAGGAGGAGGAGGAGGAGGAGGAGGAAGAAAACCAGTGTAAAACCAAGACCCATCAACGATGCCACAATAAACCCTCCATAGGCTCCATATGAGGATACATTTTCACTGAAAGAAACGCCCCGTTGGAAAACAACCGTTTGAACATCTGGAACTGTGCCAGAAGACCGTTCCTGGGATTTCAACGCCACGGATCACCGTTACTGTTGCGTCCTGGCGATCCTGATTCTAGCCGGAACACCTTTTCTGGGACCCCAACGCCACACATCAATTTAACTGTTGCGCCATGACAATCCGACACAGTGCAACAACTCTATTTATGGGAAAGTATTCAAGATAATCATAGAACCTGTTGCAAACTCTGAAAATGCATGGGCGCGGCGATACGGCGAGAACCACATTTTGAAAATGAGCCGCCCTTCATCCGTGAAGCTCTTGCAGTGCTTATGACGAAAATGCGTGGCGCTACACATGTTGAAACCCACCCGCCTTCCATGTGTGAAGCTCTTGCAACTATTACAACGGATGTGTGCGGCGCTAAAGCGAGTGCCACATTTGAAAATGACCCGTCCTCGATCTTTGAATCTTCTGAATTTACTATAACGAATGTGCGTGGCGTTAAGGCGAGATCTACACATTGAAAACGGCATGTCTTCAATCCGTGAAGCGCTTGCAAAGTTTGAAGACGGACGCGCGCGGCGTTAAAGCGAGAACCACATTTTGAAAGCGTCCCGCCCTAAATCCGTGAAGCTGTTGCAAGGTGTCAGCTTCAATATTTCAATGGCGAGGGAGTCTCACGCGAAACGCCAGGCCCGACCTTCCGGTTGGCCTCGGGTTGCAACGCTGAGTTTTTCGCGGGGGAAAGCAAATCGAAGAGGAAAAGGAGGAGGAGGAGAAAAGAAGGAGGATGATGATGAGGAGGAGGAGCAGGAGGAGGAGGAAAAGGAAGATGAGGAGGAAAGGAGGAGAGGAGGAGGAGCAAGAGGAGGAGGAGGAGGAGGAGGAGGAGGAGGAGGAGGAGGAGGAGGAGGAGGAGGAGAAGAAGAAAAACGCTGGGACTGTGCTGATATCCACGGAACGGGAAGAGGAGAAGGAAAAGAAGAAGGAAGAGGAGCCAATATAACAGCAGCGCTAGCCGGCCAATCTCGATGCAAGCTGAGTGCCGCAAACTCCTGCCGTGTGGCGACCTCGGCTCGGGCTTGTGGCGACGACGGAACCGCTCGACCCTGAATGACCTCCTTCCCTCGAGGTCCCCTGGATTTCTCGGCTACATGTTTTTCTTTGCTTAGGGCGCTCCGTCCATCTCGCGGCCTTTTCCTTCCTTCCCTTTGCCTGTCCATGCCTTTGTGCCTCAATTCGCTACCGACGTGTCCCACCGCTTGGCTCGACCTCTTGCTGGACCGGGTTCGCTGCAGATCGATCGAAGTTGCTCATTGCTCCATCTTGGGGATGCGCGCTGCATCCTGTCACGGGCACGGGTGAGGAGAAATCCACGCATCATCACGAATTCGACCACGGAGACGACCGACTGCAAGACACCTGTGTCGAGAAGAGTGTCCTTATATGAGGTGGGCCAGGGGGGGGGAGGGGGAGGAGGAGGAGGAGGAGGCAGGAGGGAGGAGGAGGAGGATGAGGAGGAGGTGGAGGAGGACGAGGAGAGGAGGAGGAGGAGGAGGAGGAGGAGAGAGGAGGAGAGGGGGAGGAGGAGGAGAGGGGAAGGAGGAGGGAGGGGGGAGGAGGAGGAGGCGGAGGAGGCGGAGGAAGAGGAGAAGGAGGAGAAGGAGGGAGGGGAGGAGAGGAGGAGGAGGAAGGGTGGGAGGAGGGGGAGAAGGAGGGCAGGAGGAGGAGGAGGAGGAGGAGGAGGAAGAGGAGGAGCCCTTTGTCCACAAGACTGAACACCTGCACGATCAACACACTGCGGAGGTCCACGCGGATTTCTTGGACAGGCGCTGGACCTGTCCAGTCCCCTTCCTCGGCGACAGGGGTGTGCGGGTGGACGCGGCTCCAGGGCCGACCCAAGAAATCCACTCGCGCCTCCGCAAGTCTCAATTCACGCCGTTGTCCAAGTCCGTGGGAGAAGAATGCCCCTCGATGAAGAGGCCCTTGGCGACAGACCGTTCGACAACCGCAAATCCTCCGAAGACCTCACCATCCCGTCCGTCACCCGACAGTTTGGAGACCCGGGAGATCCCAATCGCTCCAAACATCTTCGAAGACCGACCCGAGTCCCAAACCCTACGGCTCCCCCCGAACCACCCTGAAGTCACCTGATGCGATGTGGCTGCCGTCTTTGTTGTTGCGAGTTTTCTCTTTCCCCATGCATACTTCACACGATAGCGTGACCAATGTTTAAATTACTTACCAAAAGTCTCGCGCCTTGACTCGAAAATTGTTGCGGGAAGCAACATCAGCGCTGAATGCAAATCTATTGTATTTGCAGCAGTGCGCGGGGGAGCTCCAAGCGGCTGACATGGACAGACTAACGATCCTGGCTGGGGCGTGCTCTTGCCGTCGGTCTATTCCGCCCGGCGCATCTCCGCATGGTTCGCAAGCGGTTGCAGACTTCGGGCATCTACTGACCCTGGTCAGTGCAAACCTGGGTCAAACAAAAGTTGCCAGATCCTGCAAAAGCCTGCATGATCTTGCAGGATCCTACGCGCTAGCCCGGGTCAATGCAACCCTGGCTTGGCAGGATCCTGCAGAATCCAGCGCTCTGGCTGACCTCAGTTTGCATTGGCCCCCGTCTCTGCCAACTCGGAGGCTCTGGAGGTCCGCGCTGAGTTCCTGCGGGCGCGGGCCCCGCCCCCCAACCCGCTGGCGGCGCCTCTGGCGCCGACCCCCTGCGCTCGTGCGGGGGGGTTGGTCCAGCGCCGACCAGGAAAATCTGCGCAGCACAGTCTGCTGGGAGACGGCGGCGTCATGTGTGTATGTATATATATATATATGTATATATATATATATATGTATATATATATATATATATATATATATACATTTCTATATATACTCTTCGTCAGCGGCGAGGCGGCGAAATCCGCTCCAGCGAACAGCTAGGTAGGGGCACTAACTAGCGAATTGGCCGGCGTGCAAGGAGGGAGGGGGGAGACCGAGAGGAAGGAGAGACGCTCAGACGCCGAAGAACTCGACGATGAGCAGCCGGCGGGCAACAGCAGCCAGGCGCTACACGTGCATATGTATGTATACATGTATATATATACATATAAAAGTATCTGCGTCTATATGCACATGCAGCAGTCGAGGTGCCTCTGGCTCCAGGATCCCCTTGCCGCCCACCGGGGCCTCCGTCCTTCGTGGCGCCCCGGGGGCCTGGATCGGGGGAACAGCCGACTCGCGGCGGAGGCTCCCCCTCTCCGACAACTCCTGTGTGCTGCGCAGTTTTGTTTTCTTCGACTGTGGTTAGGTCGGGCATGTCCCCCTACAGGCAGACTTTAGACGAAACGTGAGAACTAGCCAAACTGTACACAACAATTGGCAAAACAAGTAGAAACATCGTCCCAAGACCATCCTTGGACTATTTTTGAACCTTCCCCCTGTAGAGGGACAGGCCCGACTTAAGACTGCGGGGGGGGGCAGCGTCGGCCGAGTGCGACTCGAATCAGCGCTCTCTTCTAGGTCTTGCCCTCGGCCCTCGTGCTAGGTCGGGCATGTCCTCCAACAGGCGGATTTCGGAAGAACAACAAAAATAGCCAAAGCATACTCAAACATGTTTTCAAACATAGTAGAAACATCGCCCCCATATCATTCTTGAGTACCTCTGAATATTCCTCCTGCAGAGGGACATGCCCGACTTAAATCTGGTCCCCGACCTCCCCTCCGCGCTTACACTGCCTGCCTTGGGCCGCCGCCTCAGATCAGTGTGCTGAGGAAGCTCACGAGCGTCTCCACGTACGGCGTGACGAACATGCCCACGCCGAGGGCGACGCCCATGATGGTGGCGCCGACGCCAGTGGAGCGCGCGTAGTTGACCGGCTTGAAGTATTCGGCGAAGGGCAGCTTCTTCTCCTTGGGCTGGAGGGTGTACCCGCGCCACTCGTTGCCAGGGGACGAGATGATGCACGCGGCGAAGACGGTGATGCCGAAGCGGATCTCCTTGGGGAGCGCGACGCCGGACATCACGCCGAAGACGAAGCCTCGGGACCAGCCGTAGACAATGTCACGGACCACAGTGGGCACGTATGCCTGGTAGAGCGCAGGCAGCGTGATCTCCCAGCCCATGCTCTTCCGGAAGCGGTAGTTCGTCACCGGCAACATGATGGTGCAGAAGAGGAAGCCGTTGATCATGCCGCGGATCCCGCCGGAGAGGCTCGTGAAGGAGAACATGATGTTGATCACCTCGAAGACGGGGAACTTCAGCATATTGGTGGGGAAGGTCGTCAAGAAGAACTTGCTGACGATTGCGAAGTTCACCTCCGCGTAGGCCTGCGCGAAAGTCATGCGCTTCACGAGCAGGCGGTTGACGAGCGGCTCCGTCACTGCCGACAGGATGGCCGCCACGAAGGCCGCTGTGGCGCCCTGCGCGGCGGCGCCGATCACCTTCGTCATGAAGCCGCCGCCCTCGGGCTCAGGCGAGGGCACCTCTGGGCGAGGAGGAAACAGCATACAGGTAGGGCCCGACCACACGAGACCCTCCACAAGAAACCCAACCCTGAGACCCCAGGACGTCCATCGATTCTTGTCGCGGGAGCGTTACGCTTCCCATCGCAAGAAACCATCGCAACCCAAGAAACCCAAGGCACCCTGGAGGCAAGCAGGGTGTTTCTTGGCATGGGTCCCCACTGCAAGCATTACCTTTCACTGCACGGACCTTGCAGACGCGCTGCAGCGGATTTCCGCGTGGATTTCTGTCAATGCAGAACCCCCAGGAAGGCGAGCGACAAAAGAAGTAAATGTCACGTGGATTTGTTGTAATGTTTATTTCTGGCCAGAAAATCTGTAGACATTCACTTCGAAATATCCGGAGCGAAATTCTCCAGGACAGTCTGGGCCCATCCCATCGTTATCCGAACGAAAAGTCCGCTCTGCGATGTTGGCGCCATGATGCCTTTCGGATCTCCGCGCGGATTTGTTGGATCAGCGCAGTGTTAAATGCGGGCGTGTCCCTCTACAGGAGGAATATTCCCAAATAGTCAAAAACTAATCCGGGGACGATGTTTCGACAATTGTTTTTTTTTTTTTTTTTTTTTTTTGTTTTGAAACTTTTTGAATATTAACTCACTATTTTTCATGTTTTCGTCCAAAATCCGCCTGTAGGGTGGACATGCCAGACCTAAGCGCAGGGCCCTTCGCCACCTGGCGTGCCTGCCGCGAGGAGGCACCGCCAAGGGGGGCCTGCAACGATCCAGGGGATCCGCGGGGACCTCCAACAGCTTCTGCTTCTGCTGCTGCTGCTCCTCCTCCTCTTCCTCCTCCTCCTCCTCCTCCTCCCGCCCTCCCTACCCCTCCCTCTTCCTCCCTCCCTCCTCCTCCTCCTCCTCCTCCTCCTCCTCTTCCTCCTCCTCCTTCTCCTCCTCCTCCCTCCCTCCCTCCCTCCCTGCCCCCCTCCTTCTTCGAACCCCGGATGCCTGGAGAGGGGCGCCACATACCAGCACGGGGGGCCGGCCTCCACCCAGGGAAGACGATCTTGGGTAACTGGATCTTGGTGCCGGTGGCAATCAGGCGTCCACACAGTAAGAACGGTTTTCCAAGGCAGATCTGCCTTTAAAAAATTGTTTTTCGAAGGCAGATCTGCCTTCAAAAAATGTTTTTTCGAAGGCAGATCTGCCTTCAAAAAATGGTTCTTTCGAAGGCAGATCCGCCTTCAAAAAATGTTTTCGAAGGCAGATCTGCCTTTCAAAAAATGGTTCTCGAAGGCCGATCTGCCTTCGGTGGTGATTTTCGAATGCAGATCTGCCTTAAAAATGGTTTTTCGAAGGCAGACTGCCTTAAAAAATGTTTTTTGAAGGCAGATCTGCCTCAAAAAAATGTTTTTCGAAGGAGGCAGATCTGAGATCTGCCTTCAAAAAATGGTTTTTTCGAAGGCGAGATCTGCCTTCAAAAAATAGTTTTTTGAGGCCAGATCTGCCTTCAAAATGGTTTCTCGAAGGCAGATCTGCCTTCAAAAAATTGTTTTTTGAAGGCAGATCTGCCTTCAAAAAATGGTCTGCTCTGTAAGAGCTGTGTTTTTGAAGGCAGATCTGCCTTCAAAAAATGGTCTGCTCTAGGCAGATCTGCCTTCAAAAATGGTTTTTCGAAGGCAGATCTGCCTTCAAAAAATGTTTTTTCGAAGGCAGATCTGCCTTCAAAAAATGGTTTTTCGAAGGCAGATCTGCCTTCAAAAAATGTTTTTTCGAAGGCAGATCTGCCTTCAAAAAATGGTTTCTCGAAGGCAGATCTGCCTTCAAAAAATTGTTTTTCGAAGGCAGATCTGCCTTCAAAAAATGGTTTTTCGAAGGCAGATCTGCCTTAAAAAAATTGTTTTTCGAAGGCAGATCTGCCTTCAAAAAATGGTTTTTCGAAGGCAGATCTGAGATCTGCCTTCAAAAAATGGTTTTTCGAAGGCAGATCTGCCTTCAAAAAGTGGTTTTTCGAAGGCAGATCTGCCTTCAAAAATGGTTTTTCGAAGGCAGATCTGCCTTCAAAAAATGGTTTTTCGAAGGCAGATCTGCCTTCAAAAAATGGTTTTTCGAAGGCAGATCTGCCTTCAAAAAATGTTTTTTCGAAGGCAGATCTGCCTTCAAAAAACCGTTCTTACAGGGTAACTGGGTCTTGGTGCTGGTGGCAATCAGGCGTCCACACAGGAAACCCGGACATCACCACCATCGCCGAGATCGGGATCGTCTTTCCTCGGTGGAGGCAACCGCTACACTCGGTCCTCGTGCCGGCCTCTACGGAGGACTCCCAACATGGGGTCCTGGCAGCTGGGGTCGGATGATCGCGCCACGTCGCCGATGCATCGCAAAGGCATCGGCGATTCATCGGCTGTGCTTCGGCCACGCCGCGGCGATTCGTCGGCGACGCCGGCGTGGAGAACACCGGGGTGGCACATCGAGCCGCACCGCCGATGCACCGCCGATGTTGGCGCCCACCTCCGACCCCTATCTGCTCCGGCTCCATCTGGAAGGCCTAGATCTACCCTTGGATCTGACGCTGCCGAACAAATTTCAACATCGCGAAAAACAGCGACCAGAGGCCTGGACCCCATCGTCCTGCGTCGTTCTTCAAGCGGAATGGATCTGTGAAGGTCTGGGGCCCGAACCGGGCGAAAGTGTGCGTTGTGGAAATATGTAGCGCAAAGATCTCAGGGTAGCTCTGTGCCTCCGAGACTCCGAGAACCTCGGCCCGGGCAGCGCCAGGGAACGCCCACGAGACGTACTGGACGACGAGGCACGACCTTAGCGGGCCTTGGGAACGGCAAAACCGTTTTTGACTGCTTCCCCAAACCCAGGTCTCGATTCGGGAAACGGCAGAAGAACTGCTCACCGAAACGGAGAACAAACGTCGCCCGAATCGGAGCTAGAACGAGACGCAAAAACTGCGACGGAGCCGGAAAACCATCGGAAACGCCGGAACTGGTGCAAAAAGCAACCCGGCCGTTCCCAGGGCCTACAGCATGGGCCTCCCAAGTGGGGTCCGAATAGATGAGGTCGGGGGACCGCGCCGCATCGCCGACGCATCGGCGATGCATCGGCGAAGTCGGCGATACATCGGCGCCATCGGCGAAACTCAGGCTCCGCATCGCATCGACCCCTCCCGACACCGCGGGGATCTTTCAACTTTGGACGATCGGCCGTTTCTGGAACGTTAGATCGTGCAACATCCGACCGACTCTGGGTCGCTCGCGGCGCTCCTCGGCGGCGCGCACAAGGGGTAGGGGGAGGGGGGAAGGCTCCCTAGAATCACCCCTGCTTCTCAGAAGGCGCTGGCACTACATCTATGGAGAAGGCCCACGCCTTCGAGGAAGCAGCCTCCTTCTGCAGAGGAAACACACATAAACGTAAACGTTTGGCGCTCCGCGCGGATTTCTTGGATCCGCGCTGCACCCCCCTCCCTGGCGCGCGGAGCGCACCAGGGGCGGCGCCGGAGGCGCCGCTAGGGGGCCCAGGGCGGATCCCAGAAATACGCGCGGAGCGCCACAAGTTTAGGCTTCTGTGTTTTTTTTCTTCTTCTTCTTCTTCGCTTGCGATAGTCATCGCGAATGCGACTACGACTGCGAGAACAGCAGAATTCTACAACTGGATTCTCATCTGAATCTTTAAGGGGAATGCTTCCAGATATGCTCCTACACATCGCTGTTAGGTTGCTTTGCCGGGATAATTTTTGTTTCATGGTGGGGGGTTTGGGGGGAGGGACTGTTTTTTCTTCTTCGCTTCTGAGGAGCCTGCCCCCCTCCGCCGTTGCCCCCTCTGCGCGTGGCCGAGATCCACGCGGACCGCGGGCGGCGGGGTCGCCGCCGGTCGCCACGGCGCAGGCCCGCCGCGGGCGCTGAGGGCCCGACGCCAGCACGAGCAGCGGCAGGCCTGAGGGGCAGCGAGAGGGGGCGACATGTCGTACGGCAGGGGCCCGACCAGAAGAAGCCCTCCACAAGAGATTTTTCTTGCCAACTAGCTCTCCAGCGCCCCGGAATTACTGGCGCCGGCAGTGAACCGTCAACCTGGTCACCGCCGGGAACCTCGTAGAGCTCCTTGCACGCGTAAGAGTGCTCAGAATCGAAAGAAAGAGCTTCTAGAAGCATTTCTCGAGAAAGTCCAAATTGATGTTTTTTATGTCGACATGAAGCTGGTTCCGCCAAGTGTTTTGATAGAAACCCGACCCTGAGACCCCAGGACGCGCATCGATTTCTGGTGTGGGACTGTCGCGCTCTCCATCGCGGAAGCATCGAAGCCCAAGAGACCCATGGCACCCTGGAGGCAAGCAGGGTGTTTCTTGGCATGGGTCTCCACTGTACAGTCAAGACGCTGTCCTTAGAATCCTCCAGTAAGGAACGAGGCCCCTTTTTTCCATGCGTTGAACTTCGATTTCCCATCGGAGACACACGGAATACCTACGACAAGCTGCAAAACGAGTAGGGAGGACTGAGCCCCTCCCGAAGGGCCCCTTCTTCAGAGGCCCGGCTGCGTGGGGGGGGCATGTCGACGAGGAATCGGCGACACATCGCCGGCAGATCGGCGATGGGCCCCCGAGAGCAAATCTGAGCACTCCTGGGAGGGGTGAGGCTATCAGACCCCTATCTCGGGGGCGCGCAAACATGGCTTAGCGATCCATGGATTTGGCGCGCGGTTGCAAAACAAAAACATGGAAAAAGGTAGGTGCCCTCCCCTAGATGCGGCCAGCGCCGCCTCGCTCGGCGGCATCCGCGATTTCCCCTGAAGACGGGACCCGTCACTCATCCACGCACCCTTGACCCATGTTTGCGATCGCCTGACTACCGGCGATCTTTTGACGATTTGGGGGTCGATGCATCCCGCCCTATGCCTATCCCCCCCCTCGTCGACGTCGCCTCTCGGGTCGTGTCTCGGCTCCCGGGCGGCCCCTCGGGACGATCCCGGCATCCCCAGAACGCTCTCGGCGAGGCGCAGCCGCTGATCCAGGCCTCCCCAGGACGCTCTCGGCGAGGCGCAGCCGCTGGAAGGCAACCCGATCGGCGGGACAAAAGCGGCCGCGAGAGCCCCCGAAGACGCCCGAACATCTCCGAAAGCCTCCATTAGGGGTGCCCCCTTCGCCTCCCTCCTCTCGCCTATCGGATAGGCGAGAGGGCGCATTGCGCGAGGACGCGCTCGGCTACTTTTCGGAATAGCCCGAAGACTTGCCCTGGACGCAAACGTGCACGATCATGAACAACCTTCCAACAACTCTGGAGCAAGCTCTGCCGCACCCCTCTCCCTTTTTTTCTCGACAGATCAAGAAATGCCTGGCTTGAGATGACCCATGACTGCGCCTATGATATCCCCCCCTCCCCTGTCTAGGGAGCCCACAAAGGACGTACGCGCCCAGCTATGTACATGAACACGGCCCTTCGATTCGCGAGACCGGCCGCGTTATACGCACATTTGTGCAATGCGTGCTCTCGAAAACAACGTGGATTCATGTACATGTACGTCCTTCTTTCGCTCCTGACTGTCGTTGCCCCCGAAGGCCCCGGGAGCCGCGGCGCGGCGATCGGCGGCTCGCGGGCGCCATGCCTCAGAGGCTGCGGCTGTCGGGGGCGGCGCGGGCCTGCTAATTACTCCAGATTTCGTAATAAAGGGAGGGGGGTATCATTTCGGGGAGGGTCTCTTCCAGGCTATCTTGGAGGGCCTGGGGGGGTCTGGGGACGATGTTTTGGAGGGTTCTCCCACGGGGGGGGTCTGAAATGGCTTGTCTTGGAGGGTCCAGACCCCCTCCCTTTTATTACGAAATCTGGAGTACGCGGCTGCCTGCCGCGGGGGGGGCTCTCCGGCGGGCGGGCGGGCCCTCGGAGCCGAGGGCGGCCGCGGCGGAGTCCTGGGACCCCAACGGGCAGTGGATATAAGGATTATATATATGTGTATATATATATATAGATGTATACATGTATGTATGTATGTATGTATGTATGTATGTATGTATGTATGTATGTATGTATGTATGTATGCATTTATGTTACGCATGCATGTATGTCTGTATGTATGTATGTATGTATGTAGGTATGGGTGTATGGGTGTATGTAGGTATGCACGTATGCAGGTATGTATGTATGTATGTATGTACATATGCATACATGTATGTATACATATATGTGCGTATACATTTGTATGCATACATATATATATGTATGTAGACCTGTATGTATGTATGTAGGTAGGTAGGTATGCATGTATGTACATGCATACATACACACATAGACATATTATTAAGCTAGGGATGACAGTCTCAAGATACCACCAAATTTACTGTACAGGTGTGCACACATGCGGCGCTAACCACAAGAAGAAAAGTCACGACGAGACGCGGCCTATAACTCGTCCGTCGGCCTATATGTATATATATATATATACATATATATACATATATATACATTTATATATATTTATATATCCGCCCCCTTGCGGGGCCACAAGGTTGTAGGGCAACGGTTTGCTGCTCCCTGCGCCAATTCCAGTCTCCAGTTTCCACTGCTACAGTTCTGCTTTATGCTGCTTACTGTTCCTTGTTGTAGAACGCGGGACCCGAAAAACGTCCAGATTACCACGTCCGAGTCGCACGCTCTGAATTCCTTGGGGGGGGGCGTGGGACACGTAAGAATATATGACATTCGCGCACCCGAGGCCATACAACCTATGTAAATTACACAATATTCGCGTCCCCAAAGCCATAAACCCTAGTGAATTACCAATACTCGCGTCCCCCAACATATGCCGTATTCGTGTCCCCGAAGCCATAAACCCTCGTACATTACACGGTGCTTGCGTCCCCGAAGCCACAAACGCTTGTAACTCACGCAATATTCGTGTCCCCGAAGCCATAAACCATCGTATATTATGTTCTGTTCGCGTCTCCGCAGCCATACACCTTTGTACATTACACAATATTTGTGTTCCCGATTCAAGAAACCATTGATAATTACTTCATATTCGCGTCCCGAAGCCATGAACCCTCGCAGAATTACGCCATATTCGCGTATCCGGAGCCATAAACCTTCGTAATTTACGCGATATGCGCGTCTCCGAAGCCATACACCTTCGTAGATGACGCAATAGTTGCGACCCCGGAGCCTCAATCCATCGTAAATTAGGCAATGATCGCGTGTCCGCCGCCATATACCTGTTTAGAACACGCAATATTCGCGTCTCCGAAACCATAAACCGGTGTAACTTACAATATACTTGCGAGCCTGAATAACTTACGCACTATTCGCGTTTCCAAAGGCATACACCCTCGTACATTACACTATGTTCGCGTCTCCGAACATTCAATACTTCGTAGAACAGCTTTTTGCACAGCGTACGCGAACAAGCCCGAAATACAACACCGAATTCAACGATATCATCATAATCTCACTTTGTATTGCCGATTACTCATCGTCTTCGCGTGAAGTCCCGACGCTGCTTCACGGCGGCGCCAAGGCCTCATGATTTCGCTCTTGCATTGGCCATTCTCCGAGAGAGGGGGCCGGCGGCAGGGTGCGAAGCCTTTACGGATATAGGTGTATATATATACATTTATATATATATATATATATATATATATCTGTGGGACACGTAGATCCAGATCCAATGGTTAAGGAACCACTGGAGAAGGAATCCAGGGGCTGGAAGCGCGTGGAGCTCCAATCGATGAGTGGCCATGAGTATCACCGCCGCCCTCCTTGGACAAGAAATGCTCCAGGGCCTGAAGCCTCCTAGGCACATTCCTTAACGAACGCCCCCACCGTATACACTTCCACCGCCTGGGGAACCGACGTCCTGGGACCCCAGCGGGTAGCGGATAGGGACATACATCTGGGCCACGTATGTCCAGATCCTCCGCCTGCGGAGGTCCCCTAAGATCGATCCCCCAAGCGATGGTCATGGATAGAGCTTCGCTTCGGAATTTCTTTGTTCCCAACCATCCTGTGGTGTTGGGTCCTCGTTTTGAAGAGACGGTGCCCCGCGTTCCCTCCTCCTCCCGCTGCCCCCTCCCTCCTGCCATCATCATCATCATCATCACCATCACCATCACCATCACCATCATCATCATCATCATCATCATCATCATCATCATCATCATCATCATCATCATCATCATCATCATCATCATCATCATCATCATCATCATCATCATCATCATCATCATCATCATCATCATCATCATCATCATCATCATCATCATCATCTCTCATCATCACCATCATCATCATCCTCATCCTCATCCTCATCCTCATCCTCATCCATCCCCCATCTTCCCTGCGTTTCACCCACCCAGTAACAGCGGCTTCGTAGCCCATCGGAGCTCCACCGAAGGCGCCAGTAGCAAAGTTCGCATGGCGGCCTCGGGCCATTTCGGCACACCCCTCACGAGGATCGTGGCTCCATAGGAGCTCCACCGAAGGCGCCAGTGGTAAAATTTGCATGACGGCCTCGGGCCATGTCGACACACCACTCACGAGGATCGTGGCCCCATAAGAGCTCCATCGAAGGCGCCAGTGGCAAAGTTCGCATGGCGGCCTCGGGCCATTTCGGCACAGCCCTCACGAGGATCGTGGCTCCATAGGAGCTCCACCGAAGGCCCCCGCGAGCGCCCTCGCCCGCATATGCGTCCCCCACACCCATTTCGCGGCACACGCCCTCACGACTTTTTCGTGGCTCCATAGGAGCTCCACGCAGGCCCTAAAAAAACAAAAAAGAAAAAAAAAAAAAGAACAATGGCCGCGCCCGCATGCTTCACCCCACCCATTACCTTCACCCCACCCATTTCGGCCACACCCCTCACACGTTTCGTGGCCCCATAGGGAGCTCCACCGAAGGCCCCAGTGCCCGCGCCCGCATGCGTCACCCACACCCATTTCGGCACACCCCTCACA